ACACCAAACCACGGATTTAGTGATGATTATACGCTTCGGTTCAGTATAAAATAGGGAAGACCCCTTCATTATGGGGATTCGGCCATTTTACATACAAAAAAAGAGAAACAGAAATCTCTCTCTCTTGTAAACTTTTCTTTGACTTTTTCGTCTGATGTAAGTCAGCTCGCGACCGCGACCTGACACCCACTAATATCAATGCAAATCAGTGGACGTAGGACTTGCTATCTTAGCGTCCGAACCACTTAAAAAACTCCCTCTACAGTTATTTTACTTTTGATATATTCCATTTTCACGTGCATCGAACAGTCAATTGATATTATACACGTAAAAATTCGTTGGTGTAAAAATCAGCATCAACACCTTACATAATAGGATTACATTTTCAAACATAAATTTAAAACACTCTACAGCTGGCTGTTAATTTCGATCAAGAGCTAAACTTGAAGATAAACGAGTTGAGCTTAATTAGCTGCAACCTCCGGGACCAAACCCAACCTTCCCTCCAGCAACATCGTAGTGCACGTCTGTTGCTCGTTGCTGAACATTCCCTAAAATAAGAGGCTCTGTTTTATCAGTACTCGCTCTAAAAGCTAAGCACGCATAATGTTTGTTATTCTGATTGATAATGGACAAAATTCTCTTCACATCCAGCTCCAACTCAACCCGGCCCTTGAAGGAGATTGAAATATTTGGTATTATAAAACTCTCAGCTGTGCTTAAATCTAAACAAATACTTTGATCTTCATCATCACTGGGTTAACTTGTTATATTCCAAAACCTGTTTAACGAAAGAGTTTTCCAGAGTTATGTACGCCTTCTGTGGCAGGTATGCAAATGTTATTCCTGAGTCTATTATTGCACCCGATTTCATATAATCCGAACTTTTTACCGATAAGTTTTTCCCACCAACACTGATTCCGGTTACTACAATTCCGTATAATTCCTTATCCTGGGGTTTAGTGGTTAGTGGAGTGAATTTCAGAAACTTATTTTTAATTCCATTATCAGCGGTCTTACCAATGGTTATGTATCCAGGCGAGCTAGCAGATGAAGGTAGACAGTATGAGAAGTACTTGTTGAATGAAGCGGGCATTTGTGATATTATGGATACTGAACTTCGGTCGAGTCCAATAATTCCGGAAGCTCCTGATAAGTTTCTGATAGACTTAAAATTTTATATTTTTATTATCCTTGCATTTAGTTTATTTGGCATGTTTAATATCTTATGGTGCCTATTTGTGATGATTTTTATGTATAAGATATTTGTGGTTAAGAGTTAGTAAATTATCCTTAAAATCAGAAGGTTTCATTTTATGTATAAGACATTTGTGGTTAAGAGTTAGTAAAATATACTTAAAATCAGAAGGTTTCAGCATTTTTACTTTTGGATTTTGGATGTTTTGGGTTGTTTGCAGATTTTTGATGGACTTGGAGTTACAGTTTGGTTTTTGGACCATCTATGAAGTTAAAGTAGACATCTTAAGTTTTCCAAATGGCACGTCCTGAGATGACTTCGTTCGGGCCTCCAATTGTTGGTGTAAAGTCAGAGCTGAAAACTAAAATCGAATCCTAATTAGAGTAGGATTTCTGTCTGACCACTGGAGCTTTAAAAGGGCATAACTGGAGCTTTTGAAACTCAAATGAGACGATTCAAAAGCCCAAATTGAAGTATACATCCTACAATTCTTATGAAGGGGCCGAAGTCCAGAAAGCTCGTTGTCCTATCCAAAACTGGCCTAGAAGTTATGACTTTAGCCTTGAAGCTTTAATCCTTAGCTGATTTTGATTATTTTTGTATGGCTCCTATAAAGACTTAGTCCAAGTACAAGAGAGAGTTCAATACAAGTCTGGAGGGTTGGAAATTCGTGTGTATGAGCTGGAATTTCATTTGCGCAAATTAACGACAGGTTTGAAGAGAGAGAAAGAAGTATTTTCCTAAAAGGGTTTAGTTATTTGCCTTAATTTTAGGAGTTGACTTTTAAAGGGAAGCTTTTATACATTTCTTTGAGATAGAAAATAGAATTTTTAGGCTGCTAGGGTTTTGGAGGTTGGAGACAGAACGCAATTTTATTTTTCCTTTTCTTTGTACCTTTCATCTCATCATGTCGGGCTAAATTCTTTAGTTCGATTTATGGAAACTCCAATTCGGTTAGCATAATTGTGAGACTTTGTTTAATCTTAGTTATTCCTCTATTCGTATATCTGTGTTTCTTTGTTTTATTTATTATGGTTGCATGATTTAATTGATTAAAAAGGTCTGTTAATTGATTGATTGTGTGATTGATTGCTAAACTGAATTTGTAATCCGTAATTGTTATAATATTTAGTTAGAGTAGTAATGGAGTTGAGGGCTATTTGCAATGACGTTGTTGATTTAATATTTCATGAAAAACAAGAAGCCACCACCAATAAGTTCTTAACCAGATAACAAAAAAAATCATAATGAGAAATTTAAATAATCAACTTCATGAAAAATAAGAAGCCACCACCAATAAGTTCTTAACCAGATAACAAAAAAAATCATAATGAGAAATTTAAATAATAAAAAACTTTTTGCAAATAAGAAATTGAAAATAACTAATGAATGAAAACTCATAAGTAGATTATTTTTCTAGTATGCTCTGAAAATGCTGATGATGTAAAGGTGAAGAGTTCAAAAAGAGAAAACAACAAATATATTTCTTTTAATTAGAGTAAAAGGTAATTACTACAATATTAAATTATTAACAAGGATAGCATTGAAAAATTAAAATATTAACAAAATCCCTCATTTTATTAAAACTAATGGAATTGGCAAAATCCCACCTACCAGGTAGGATTTTAAAACCCTAAAAAATGAAGGATTCTCGAGGGTGTTAGATCTTCCAAAATCCGTGGACTTCAACTTTTTTTTTTTTTTAAAACCAAACGAAGGATTTTACCAAATCCATGGATTTAACGAAATCATTTATTTATAATCCCTCGATCCAAACGAGGCCTTATAAGTTTTAAGGGAGAAATGAAGTTATAAATCCTATTATATCAAGACGAATTTGAAGATTCTCATAAAAAAATTTGAGCTCATCCCTTGCAATTACATTACGCTAACATTATTTGAGCAAATTATCACTAACTGCCAGGGCTAAATTGGAAGATAAATCTTAGCTGAGCTTAATTAGCTGCAACTACCAATAGCGAACCCAAGTTTCCCATTGGCAACATCGTCTATTACTCTTTGCTGAATAATCTAGATTTTCTTTTATAGAACAAATAGGATTAAACTTTGTTAGGATGGTAAGTAATATGTCAAAATATGAGACATTGTATGAAGTTTAGAGTGCTCTTGAGAAATTGCAAGCTTCCCAATCAAAATAAGGAAAGCAGTTGGTGAAACTGTTGTTTTTTAAAATGTTTATGTGATAGTTTTAGGTGAATGCAGCCAATGAGTAAGGCTGATAAGAGCTTGAATTATATATTTTTTTAGTAATTTAATTGGATTATTTATGGAAAAATGTGTTTAAATTGTGGAATTTGAATTAATTCTTTCATAAATACCTTTTACGAGACCACAAATGTATTTTGAGTATTTTCAGGTTCAAACCACTATTTGAAGGAAAAAGAATGATGTCGATGGAATTCATGACACGTAGGAGCAAACGGGGCAAGAATCAGAGTTGAAACGAGAAAGTTGTGACACGTCAAAGATACAACGTAAAATCTGGAAATCCTTTAAGATGAGCATGCTTCGATGTTTCGATTATAACTTGAGTTGTAGAAATCCGAATTTGACAATTATTATGGCATTGGAAAGCTTATTCAGAGAGCTACAAAGTTTGTGTTGATGACTTTACGAAATTCTGAATATCATAGACTCATTGGATAGAAAGAACGATCGTCACAATGACTATTGTTATTGCCGCAGCGATGGGTCACGGGCCTGTTTGGGTTATTACATTCTCCTAGTCCGAATCTGAATGGGTTAAGACATTTAATTCTTTTCTAAGTAACCTCCAAACCCTAGCACTATAAATAAGGGTCTTTAAGTAGTTTTTAGGAGATTGGAGAAGGAGAAAAGGACGGCTACTATTTTGGAGATCGGAATTCTTGCAGTTCTCGTTCGCCAATTAGAGAAGTTTTTATATTTTTCTTTCTTGAACTCATGTTATTGAATAAAATGGTTGTTTTTATTACTGCAATTATGAACTAAATCCCTTTTCTAGGGCTAAAGATGTAGCCCAATTTATGAATATGTGTTGACTTTATTGTTGTTAATTCTTATTGAGCATTAATTCTAAGTTTTATTATCGTATGTAATGCTTTCAATTCTTAAGGATCCGAGAGTTGAATGATATCATAGGTTGGGTTGAGATCGAGAGATGAAACCTGATTTGTCTAAGGTAATAAAAACTATTGATTGAGCGAACGCTAGAGATAGGTTACCGCGATCTATGAGGCTATGGTAAATTCTATAGAACTTAATGATCTCTAGCTTAGCTCCTAAATCCAACTTAGAGATATTTTGGGTTGTTGCTTAAGGGTTAATTTGCTAATTGTTCGAGAGAAAATTAGTGGAATATCAGGGAGTTTGGCCTTTAAAATAAGCTTAATTAGGTTAGTAATAATTGTCAATGCATAAGATTAAATTGGTGTGAAATCTGTGCCCTAGGTTTAGTCATATTGATCTTTTTACAAAAGTATTAATAAAATTCTGCTTTTGTTTAGTTTTTAGTTTGTTTTCTTTTTCATTAAATTCATTCTTAAAATTTTGTTTCATCAAATAGCAACAAAATAGACTAGTTTGGTACTTGGTAGGTAGTTCTCTTGGTATTCGACATTCGTTTACTTGAGCTTTATTACTTGCGCGATTTCATACACATGCGAATAGCCTGTCAAAGGCTCATATTAATGTAATGTACTTGCTTAGTTAAGCTTGAATGGTTAAGATTGTGTTTGTAAAAATATCCTCTAGCTAGCACTACACGAAAAAGTTGATAAGAAAATAGTGAATGATGTCGACGTACAAGCTCAGGGGACCGGTGAAAGTCTAATGCATTACAATTCGTTTCATACATGTTTTATCATCATACTTTGAAATGAGTACACAATATTGATGGTGTGGAGAACTTCATCGAATTGCTGGCCATTACAAATTCATATCAGAAGATATGCTCATGCAAAGACAAATACACAGAAAATCCAAAATTGTGTTTAGTTTCTGAAGAGGGGTTGGATAAGTCCCTTATGTTTAGTATCATATCTTTTCTTTAATACCATTAATATTCGTAATTAACCCCAGAGGAGTACTGCTAATGCATGCACAACCCACTTGATCTTTGGCTGAATGACATTTTTCCACTCTAGGTTTAGCAAAAATACTAGTTGATACCCTTAGTTTCAAAAACCATCAACATTTCACCCGATTTTTCATTTCAAACGCTAAGAATAACGATCAAATGGCATGTACGTCTTTTTCCATTACATGTTCTTCAACAGTGTATGTAAAAAAGAAAAAAATAGTAAGTTGCAACCATGGCCGTCGTGACTGTTGCAAGGCCTGACCATGGTGGTCATCGTCAATGATGAGATCAAAGAAGAAGTTCTTGGTGGCAATGGAGATGGGTTCGACATTGTTAGAGTAAGCAAGTTTTAGCTTAGCCTGCTAAGTAAGCTTGATGACATGGCACTATATGAGTAAAAGTCAGTTATCCATGTCATGTTGATAGGTTGTCAGACAACAGCTTCTTATTGTATATAAAGAAATGTATTCACACGTTTTTCATTAATAAAAAATCTATAGAGTTATAGAGAAGAAGTTTCTCTCTGTTTTCTGTTGATGCAAGAAAACACCAGCTAGAATGATCCGATCTACCTTGACGGGATTGGAACTGATGTGTGCGTGATTACGGGTAACCAACAATGAATGAAAAATAAATGCAGTAAAGCAAATGACAAAGAGATTTTTAAAGTGGTTCGGCGAGTTGAACTCTTGAGCCTACGTCCACTTTTTTTGTATTTGCTATAAGAGCTTACAATGATAATTCTAGAATAATTTGCTAACCCCTTCCTCATCGCTGCAGGGGGTTTATATACATATTTTGTATATAGGAAAGAGCA